TCCATGTATACATATACATGGTATAAACATTGTGCAAATATTAACGAAACGCGTACGGTAGTAGTGTTAGCGTTTGAGCACTGGTCTCTCCGCAACATTTTAAAAGATCAATATGGACCACCGAAATTTGGCGTTGATTTAAAAAAATAAACCATATTTTTCAGTAATACTGACTTCAATAATTATGTTACAAAAATAATTACATTCATACCACAAACCAACGCCGTTTTTGTTTACTTTTCACAACTGTTACAAAGTACTAGTATTTCATTTCTGGTTAAAATACCAGCTAATCAATCGTAGACCACAAGTTTGGAGTCCGTTTATGATCTAAACGAAGGCAGACGATTGCAAACAATTGCTGTCATGGCAAAACGTTGCACGTCGTGAATGATTTTTTTTTTTCACTGCATGCAAATTATTTTCCTTGATGCACTCAACAAAGTCAAAGCAGACGTACAACATTCGTTGCAGAACGCGTGAAAAGTACTTCGCGTTCCACTCGCTTTGAAGCTGCCGCCTATGCTAATGAACATAATCGTCAGGACGAAGCCTTACAAGTCCAAGATGGCGATAACGTTACACCGTAAATAGGCAGCCAAAACCAACGTGCACGTTACACTATTTAATTTTTCTAGCCAGCGGTGTGATGTGTCTAAAAACCGTAAACCATGTGTCATTTGTTTGGTCCCACAATTTGTCTTCCATGTGCTTGCCGATCACCGAACAGTGCGGCATGTCGCCGGTACATAGTGTTTACACACTTTTTTTACCGTACCTTTTTTACCATTTAAAACTTAATTTTTTATAAGGCCTGCGGTGGAAATCGACCATTGGGATTCGCGCTGTTCGACCAACCAACCAATAGGAATCGTGCTCTTCGCAGAGTGACACTGTGATTCTGTCGCAGAGTGCAATAATCGACATTCGGCGAGTCGCACAATCGCGTCGCAGAGTTAGCCTTTTTAGACCCCCATACATACATGCAATTCGGGCAGCAATGATCACCTCTGCGATTCCAAAGGGAATACTTTATGTATATTACAGCCCACCAATCATTTTGAACGTAGAGTCGTTGTCACATTATGCTTGTATTTGTTTTCTCAGGAACCACGTGAGACTACAACTTCTACGAAACCGATTGAAAGTAATGATGAAGGTGAATACACAACGGAAGTTATTCGCATTTTTTGTATGAAGGACAATCCAAAGATGGCGCCGGATGTCAGGATATGGGTAGAAAATGTCGACTTTGAGGTGCACAGGGAGATGTTAAGCAGGAAAAGTGAATATTTCAACGCCATGTTTGATTGTGGTCTGAAAGAATCAAGTCTTTCTCAAAGAGGTCAAATCGTTCAATTGAAAGGCGACCTGCCTACATCACGTGCCTTCCACGTGCTTCTCAATTTCATGTATTTCGGGAAGTTAGAATTTAAATTAGCTATCGCAGAGGAAGTGGTTGCCGCAGCCAACTTTCTCTTGATTAATTTGTTTTGGGCAGAATGTGGTAATTTTCTGAAATTAGATAATATAAAATTCTTTCTCGAATTGTCAGAAAAATATCACATTTCAGCGCTCCAGGACGTCATCAACCAATATGTCACAACCCACGTCGGAGTTCTTGGAAAAGACAGCAATTACTTGAAATTAAAACGTAAATTTCCAAAACTTGTTCAAAATAATTCTATGCCAAGACGTTTCACAACAGAGGTATTGGCAGTAGCCGGCTTCTATGTAGATAAACACAGTTCTCCGGTTGCTAAGAAACAAGGGCATGTCATATGTTTTTTTGACCAGCGGGAATTCAAATGGAAAATCTTAGAAACACTGCCGAGTTCTCTGAACGGCCACGCAACATATGTCAACGTCACAGCCATGGGAGATACTATTCATTGCATAGGGGGTAAAAGGGTGTCAGGGGATGTGGATGCTAGCCCTCTTCATCTTACATGGCGTGAAATGGCCACCGTAAATAAAGTATTCACATACAGCACAAGAACGAGTGAATGGAAACGGGTACAGTCTTTAAATGAGAAAGTTTACTGGAAGACGCACCTTGTTGCCACAGAAAAAGGAATATGTGTTATGCAAGACGGTTTTCGCAAAAATTTTAAATATGATTCTATAATGGACGTCTGGTCTCGGATACCGATCACGTTTGAAGGCAAGGTGATAAAAGACTGCTGCTATGGAAACGGAGTCATTTATCTGCTTCAATGTGACCAGGGAATATCAGGATTGACCGCCACTATCGGAAAATATTACCCAGAAAGCAATCGTTTTGACGAAAACTCACAATCAGAACAGTCTCTACCGTCAGGACGTTGTTCTCATATTGTTTTTATCGACAGCGCCCTCTACATCATTGATAACTCAATCCCATTGGATTGCACAGTATTTCGGTATAATCCTAATACAAATGTTCGTCATCTCTTGAGTTCGGTACCGATCAAGTCATTCGGCTTAAAAGAAGGGATTGCTGCTGTTGGCTTTCATGGCAATGTGCATTATCTAGGTGAACACAAGGTGGCGCTGTTTGATGTTAAAAATTTAATGTGGAATTGTTTACCGGAGTTTCCCCTTAATTTTGATCCTGTCAGCCTATTCCCATTACGGATACCACGTGATCTGCCAATGGTTGCGTCGAATTTGGTGTGATCATGTGACTAAACACCTCTCACAATGTATATTTGATGGAGTGTTCGTTTCACGGGAAATAGAACACTGATATTGCACCTGGCAGACCCAAGAACTCTTCTGGAAATGTTATCCACTTGGACGGGAATCCCCGTTCCAAACGCACATACCAACTCCCCTATCAGTTCGAGTTCTTAAACCTTATTGTAAATATCACTATAACTCCGAAAGATATGGACTATTTACTGCACCTTCTCAGGAATATGAGAAATAATATATTCTGCACAATCAACTTGAACCACAGTCCCTCTATAGAGGGACTGTGCTTGACATTTTAAATCATCGA